AGCGCAGTCTTACCCAGTGGACCACCAGGGAAGTCCCTGAGTTCTAATTTAATTTTGGCATGGTCTGAGAACATTTTCTGTGATTTAAATCTTTTCCAACTTGTGGTCCAGCACACGGTCTAGCTTGATGAACACCCCACGTGCACCTGAAAAGAACGGATATTCTGCTGTTGTTGGGCGTAGTGTTCTGTAATGTCAGGTCACATTGGTTGATAGTGTCGCATCTTCTATAGCCTTGCTAATTTTTTTGTTTGCTTGTTCCATCAGTTCCTGAGAGCAGTGTGTTAAATCTCCAACGAGAGTGGATCTGTCTGTTTTCTCCTCCAGTTGTATCATGTTTGCATCACATATCTTGAATCTCTATTACTAAATGCGTATACACATAGGATCATTATGTGTCATCTTGATGTACTGACCGTCTCATCCTCGTGCACACCCGTTTGTTTCTTGTAAATATCCCTTCAGTTGAAGTCTGTCTTGCCTATTAACAGCTCTACCAGCCTTATGCTTATCATTTGCAGGGTACACGTTTTTCATCCTTTTTCTCTTATTCCATTTGCATTTTTATATTTAAAGTGCAGCTCTTGCAGTCGACATGCAGTTGGCCTCTCCCCTGTGTTGGTCTCTTCTCTTATTCTTAGGATGCTTGTCTTTGGGTTCAGGACCATCTCATCATGAGATCTTAAACTTGGTTATATCTGCAAAGATCCTTTTGCCAAATAAGGTCACAATCACAGGTTCCAGGGGCTAGGACATGGACATAGCTTTCTTTTTTTTTCTTTTATTTTATAAATTTATTTATTTTTGGCTCTGTTGGGTCTTCGTTGCTGCACACGGGCTTTTCTCCAGTTGCGGTGATTTTGTTGTGGTGTGCGGGCTTCTCATTGCGGTGGCTTCTCTTGTTGCGGAGCATAGTCTCTAGGCGCGCGGGCTTCGGTCGTTGTGGCACACAGGCTCAGCAGTTGTGGCTCGCGGGCTCTAGAGCGCAGGCTCGGTAGTTGTGGCGCATGGGCTTAGTTGCTCCGTAGCATGTGGGACCTTCCCGGACCAGGGCTCGAACCCGTGTCCCCTGCATTGGCAGGCGGATTCTTAACCACTGCGCCACCAGGGAAGTCCCTGCAAGAAATATGATACAAACATTTGCAGGCAGCAGCAACAGCAGGGCAACTTTGCCAGGTTTTCCAACTGTGCCCTCCCTAGTCATGTGGATAAAACACCTCTTCATCTTCCTAAGGAATCCCCTAGAAATGGATCAAAGTCATGCACTTGTAATTCAGATGTTACAATCACATCCAATACCAAGGTTGTCATTTGAGAGCAACCAGTGCATTTGCATCTTCCGAGAACAAATCATAAAAACGTTCCCCGTGACCAGGGAGTGGGTTGAGCTTTTGATTGTCATCGTGGCGCCGTGCCAGCCCCCAAACCAAGCTGTCTTGTCTGTTGTCTGAAATACGGCTGGAGAGCTGAAATTATATTAAAGTAAACGAGCTTCTAGTGCAAGATAAACACTTTTTTTGGTACCAGTTTAATTCCGGTTTCTAAAGCTGAGGTAGGGAAGGCATCATTGTCTGTTTAATAAATTCTGGCTCATTTTGGGCCTTCCCACGACAAATCATTCATCGTGGAATCTCTCCAAAGCACAGAGGAAACATGGAAGGCATAAAAGTGCCCTTTTCATTTCCAAACTCCACTGGCAAGATTCTTTTTACATAAATACAGAACCATACGCTTGCACCAGCCAATCTATTCCCCTTTTAACCCCCTTGTTCACCTCTTTTTCCTCTTTTATATAAAGGATCATTTCCTAAAAGCCTCTGATTTTTCTGTACTCATTTCAGTTGCAATCACTGTCAAATAAGATCTTGGAAATTATCACCAAGAATAAAGGAAATGAAGAGTCTGCATTAAAGTAACTTGACAGGTGCTTAGAATCAATATGAACAAATCCAAAATGATCCTGTATTAATTTTTTCCGGGGTTAATATTTTTCTTATTGAAGTATAGTTGATTTACAATGTTGTGTTAGTTACTGTTGTAGAGCAGCAAAGTGATTCAGTTATACACACATACACACTTTTTAAAAATATTCTTTTCCGTACGGTTTATCATAGGGTACTGAATACACTTCCCTGTGCTCTACCGTAGGACCTTGTACATCCATTCTATATGTAATAGTTTGTAACTGCTAATCCCAAACTCCCACTCCATCCCTCCCTCAACCCTCTGCCCCTTGGCAGCCACAAGTCTGTTCTCTGCATCCGTGAGTCTGTTTCTGTTTCGTAGATAGATTCATTTGTGTCATATTTTAGATTCCATGTATAAATGATATCATATGGTATTTTTCTTTCTCTTTCTGACTTACTTCACTTAGTATAATAATCTCTAGTTGCATCCACGTGGCTGCAAATGGCATTATTTCATTCTTTTATGGCTGAGTGATGATATCCCATTGTGTGTGTATGTGTGTATATATATACACACGCCACATCTTCTTTATTCATTCATCTGTCGATGGACGTTTAGGCTGTTTGTTTCCATGTCTTGGCTATTGTGAATAGTGCTGCTGTGAACATTGGGGCGCCTGTGTCTGTCTTTCTGAATTAGAGTTTTGTCTGGATATATGCCCAGGAGTGGGATTGCTGGGTCATACGGTGCTTCTAGTGTTAGTTTCGTAAGGAACCTCCATACTGTTCTCCATAGTGGCTGCATCAACTTACATTCCCACCAACAGTGTGGGGGTGGGGGTGGGGGGCTCCCTTTCCTCCACACCCTCTCCAGCATTTGTCATCTGTCGACTTTTGAACGTTGGCCATTGTGACTGGCGTGAGGTGCTACCTCGTTGTTTGGATGTGCATCTCTAATAATTAGTGATGTTGAGCAGTCCTGTATTATTAAAGCGCCACCACCAGTTAACGTTGGATAAAGTAAGGAAACCGCACAGCAGTGTTTTAGTAAAAAAGAGAATCTATTACCAACGAGGTGAAAATACCTGGTTACATGTGGGTTGGAATTCACAATAATTTACGTGGATTTCTGACAGGCTTTTACTCGAATTTTTCATGTGTTTACAGAGGCAGAATTCCACCTTCTGCCAGTTGCTGCTGGCCTAGTCTTCCTTCTAGAAGTCCGTCAGGGGAACACACCCTCCCCTGGAGGACAGACTCGGGGTGGCGGGGGAGGGGAGGGGAGGGGCGGATTAGGCCGCCTGGCTGTTCTCCACACCACAGTCTCAGAACATTCCAAAATGTCAGTCAGTGATCAGACCCTCCAGAATGCTTGGGGCTCTGCAGGCACAGCTAGAGGCGTAGCCAAAGCTCTCACCTGGGAGGCGCTGCAGATGTCTCTGAAGCCTGGCTGTGTGCTGGGGGCCTGACAGAGACACTCACAGACCTCTCAGGGTGAGCGAGGTCCAGCGTGATGTCTATCCAAGCCCCCAGAGCCCAGGGGGAGGGTCCGGCAGCCAGCCAGCCCCCTGCGGCAGAGCGCATCGTGGGCCCATAGGGGACAGGCCTCGGGCCTCCACGCAGTGCAGCCGTGCCAAAACCTCCCTTGCTCACAATTGGGGGACGATAGCTCAAGGGTAATGGTAAAAATGTACAAAAGGTCCCTTCTGCGAATATTTCTGGCTAGTAAGATAAGAGCATAGCTAGTATTATCCTCAGTTAAATAATAAGGCGCCATCTACATATACACACACGCTGTGCGCCTAGGATGCAGACGCAGCGGAAACGGACACGAGCGTCTGCTAAGGGTTTGTTTGTGCTATTTTAGATGGAACGCCGACCTTTGTTTGAAAAAGTCTCTAGGTTTTTTCATTATAAAAAACGTTGCATTAATTAAAAGGAAAAAACCCAGCGCTTGCGTCAGCTGGCCCAGCCCTGTCCCGACAGCCTCAACCCAGTGTTGTCCCCCTCCCTGGGCAGGCGCTGGTCACCTGCTCTGTCGGGGGACAGCAAGGGCAGGTGCAAACCTGTTCAACCACAACGTGGTCATTTAAAACACCCCCCTTCTCGTGAGCTTTGCTGCGAACAAGAGGTCAGTGTCTGGCTGTGGGGCTCCGGTGAATCTGGTGCTTAGTATTTGGCGAGTGAGTGAAGTGGAGGAAAAGCAAGACCCAAGGTCTGCAGGTCCCGGGTGCTCCGGCTCAACTGCTCCCGGATGGCCTGGTGCTGGCCCAGGTCGTGGATTCTGGAGCCGTCCAGACAGCACCGGGTGACTTCTCAGCAGAGGCTGCCTGACAGGCACCCCAGCCCGAAACGGTCCAGTTTAATCAGCTAAGTCCAGGAGAGAAAGTGCGACACTATCAGTCTCGTAACTGAGGCCAGAGCCACACAGGCCCCCGCCGCGGAGCCCGCCCAGTGCCCCCGCCCCAGGCTCAGACCCGCCTTCTCTGGGGAGGCGCCAGGAGCTGGCAGAAGGCGCGTCCCGTGCTCACAGGGCACACGCGCCCTTGGTTACTCGACCTTCCAGATGGCGATCTTGCCCTCGTCGCGGCCGGACCCGCTCAGCACGTATCTGTCCTCCGCGGAGCACAGGGTCTTCACCGTGTCCGTGTGGGCCACCAGCTCCTTCTCCACCGTCTTCCTCTCGGCGTCGATCACGTAGATTTTCCCCTTGGATCTCCCCTGCGACAGCCCTGTGCCGCCCACCCAGATCTGCTGAGGAGAAACAGGCACCACACAAGCAGCCCACTCAGAGGTGTGCGGTGCTCTCTCGGGCACCCCCAGACCCACGTCCTTCCCGGCCAGGCCTTGATCAGCAGCCCCGGGGCCGCCTTACCTGCTTCTTCACCTGGATCATGCAGTTGATCTTGGAGCAGTCCTGCAGGTGGATCCTCTGCGGGGGCTGGGTGAGGTCCTGCAGGCTCCAAACGTAGATGTCCTCGTACCCGGCACAGGCCGCCCAGAGCTGCTCCTGCTAAAGTGGAACAGTCACGACGTGGGCAGTGGCAGCCCAGTGGCACGGGGGCACTGGCCCAACCTGACGCACGGGGTTACCTCGGGCATGAGCTGGAAACCCAGGAAGGAGGTGCTTATCTCTTTAAAGTTCTCGCCAATCTTCAGTTCTTGATGAAGAAATCCAGCCGTGGTCACGACCATGATACTGTTACCGGTACCTGCGGGGCAGAAGAGCCAGCATGAGGGGCAGGCCGAGCGAGCTCGGAGCACAGGGGTGAAAGCGCCGGGAGAGCTGCAGTGTGACCTGCGGTGTGACCAGTGGGGCCACGGCTCCTGCACCACATCTGACCATGGTGTCGGCATCTCTAACTGTAGCTGCCCCGTGGCGCCTTCGCATTTTCTCGCAGGGACACTCAGACCATTAGCCCCATTTTTACCGACAAGGAAACGGCTGGAGTCCAGCACCCTCTTCTGAGGCTTTCGGAACCCTTCCTGCCACGGTTACTTGGCATTTCCTATCAATCACTTGAGGCCACAGCATCTCCCACCCCCGGCGGTGAGGACTAGAGCTCTAGGCGATGGTGTCCCGCCATGGGACACGTCTCTCTCTGTCTCTTTCTGTTACTCACTCCAGCAAACCAAGAGTTTGCACATCACGAGAGCTACAGGTCACCAAAATTAGTACCGCAGGTAGGAGGTCAGATCAAGGGTGCAGGGGAGACGGAGTCAGGTTCGAGGGAAGGTGAAGAGCTGCAGGGCTGTCCTCTCTTGGCTTTTACTGCCTGCGTCCTCCACCTCCCGCCCTGTGCTGAGGCCACCAGGACAGGAGGACACAGCCCTGCCCTCAGGCAGTGCCATCTGGCTCCAGAGGGAGGGGGCACGAGTCCCCAAGGTGGGCTCCGGCTTCCTGTCATGGTGGGTGGACTCCAGGTCCACAGAGAAATGACCCCTCTGTCCTTGGCTGCCCTCAGGACTCAGAAGCTCAGCTGGGTTCTCAGTCACAGGTGGCGAGAGCCCGCCCATACCTCTCTTTCCTGCCTGAGACCTAATAAGCAAACCCCAGCATCCCTCCTTTTATCCCGAGATGCCATTATCCACTTGGACTAATTAACAGGCCCCTAGGATGCTGCTGCCTGTCAGCAAGACCTGGGTGGCAGGAAGTCCTGCCAGGAGGTGCTAGTGCCCCCGGGGGTATGCCAACCAGCACGCTCGCCGCCTGCCAAACTGCACAGGGCGGAGTTCACAGCGACCCTGCTTGTGCGAGCACGTAGGGGCCCTGCTGCACGCGGAGCGGGAGACGGGGGCAACAGATGTGGGTGAGACCCATCACTGTCCTCGAGGTGGGCCGGGTACCCAAAGGGAAGGTGCCCCTGCCGTGGGTGGTGGAAGGGAGGAGGACCTGGGGAGAGCTCTGTCCACGAGATCCAGGGAAGCGGTCCTCTGGGGTAACTGTCACCAACCCTCACACTCACGGACGCTCCAAGGCCCGCTTTCTGCCTCTCACATCTCCCAGCCGTCAACGTGCTCTCCTGTGGGAGGGATGGTATTTCCATCTCACTTTTCAGATGAAGGAACAGAGACTCCAAGAGTGCAGGGGACCAGCCCAAAGTGACCAGTCATCGGTGGCAGCGCCTGGATTTGAACTTGAATGCACACGGAGGCTGCAGCCTGAACCACAGGTGTGCCAGCAACATCACAGAGCAGACCTCCGGCCACAGGGAGCAGGGACGGGGTCCGCTCCCTCCCAGAAACGTCAGGCCCGGGAGAGGGGCAGTGCTGCAGTAAAGGCAGCTTCCATCCAGACACAGGGAAGGCATGCAGGGTCTGAAATACTGGGACAGAAGTAGAAAGGGAAGCCGGGGACCCTCAGGCTCACCTCGCCAAGGGCCTGGGGAGGAGTCAGAGGCGTCACCTGTCCCCCACCACACACACTCTCAGGCCACACCTCAGTGCCCACGGACCACAGCTGATAAGTGACCAAGGCTTTAGCTGTTATCCTTGTTTAGATAAAGACTTGGAACGACACTTCACAGCAGACACTCGCTTTTACCCGAAGAAGCCCTGCTTTCCTCTTGTCCTTTTCTCATTGTTGTTAAATAGGAAAACTACTTACTGTATTCGTTAAGTTGAAAAATAAGAGGGATTCCATCCTGAAAACAAGGTTATCCATATCCTCATTCTAATCTGTCATGTCTCTCACTATATTTAACAGGCAACTTTTGGTCCAAAATGCATCCATGGATGGACACACGCACATCTGACAGTCACCGGAGGTCAACCAAAGCTGAGGGATGTGGTCTTTGAAAGAAAAGAAAGACACTCAGTGAGCTGCACAGTTACGTGGGTTTCCTCTGAGGGGACTTCCCGGCTCTTTGTGGGGCACTGAGGGATAAAAATTCTAGCAGTACGTAGCAGGCCATCTTGGGTTGAGGGTATAGTTTGGGGCTGCCGCTGCCAGTGTGGCTGGAAATAGAGGGGGGATATCACCCAAATGAGGGATCCCCAAAATGCATGTATAAATTCTCCTCAAATCCTTGGCTGACTCCCAAACTGTGTATAAACAGCAGAACTGGAACATTCAAGACCTGAAGAGAGATTTCACAGGGATACAGAGATAAGAGTTCAAAGTTCTAGCTCATCCCTGTAGGAAAGGCTTGGTATATACCTTGGGCATTCCTCGAAACCCTAAAAGGGCCATGCTGCAAGAACAAAGACCACATACCAGGACTAAGGTCAAAACTGAAATATACTCACCCTAGAAAAGCCTAAGACCAAGCCTCCCCACAGGATCAAGATGATCTGCCAGTAACTTAATGACCTTCTAGAACAAGACTTAAGGATACAGTCCAGAGTCTCCTCAGCATGTCGTTAACAATATCCAGGATGCAGTGAAAATCACAACACATGTGAAGCTTGAAGATGCGACTAAAAACCAACAGGAAACACAGTAGACAGAAGCAGACCCACAGATGATCCAGTATCCAGCAGACAAGGACTTTAGACCAACAATTACAAATATGTTTTAAAACTGAGAGAAAGATATGGAGAGGATGAGTGAAGAATATAGGATTTAGGAGAGAAAATCAAAGTTCTTTATAAAATAAATGGAAGTTCTAGAACTAAAATGAAAGTTTGCTGGATAGGTTTAACTGCAGACAGGACACAGAAGAAGAGAGGTTCAGGTCTCAGCCAGACTAAAGCACACAAGAAAAAGAAGGAAAAAATTATAGCAGTGCCTGAGGCCTGTGGGACATTATCAGATGGTCTAACTAATAATATAATTATATATAGTTATAGTATATATTACTAATATATAATTAGAATCCCAGAAGACACGGAGAGGGAGAATGGGCAAGAGAAATAATGGAAGAGGCAACGGTTAAGTTTTCCCCAAATTCAAGAGAGTAAACTGCAAGCAAGATAAACACAAAGCCCTTCACACCCAAGCACACTGTAGTCCAGCTCATGCGAACCAGAGACGGAATCTTCAAGGCGGCTACAGAAACCACACCATATTCAGCAGAACGGCTGAGTGGCGGCGGGCCTCCCGTCAGGGACGGGCCGAGCTGCGAGACGACGGGGTGACATTTCTAGCGTGCCGGGGAAATCTGTGTACAACAGACTCGTATCAGAAGAACTACCACAGGAAATTCTTAAGGCTAAGGGGCAGTGATGCAAGATGGAAACCTGGATTTTAAGAAGGAGTGAAGCTCAACCCGAAATGGTAAATATATGGGCAAAAATAATTTTTTTCTTAATTTCTTTGAAAGACCATTGAGCACTTAGGCAAAATTTCTTTAAATAGGTTTATCACAATCATAGAAATAAAATACTGCATTTAACAACAATAGGAAAGGGAGAGAAAGAGGTAAATGGAATTAATTTTACTGCTGTGCTCTGTGCCCATTATACATGAAGTGGTGTGTGTAACAGTTATTTAAAGTAGAGTGAGAAGATAAGGTTGCACGTTGAAATCCTTAAAGCAACCACTAAAAAGTGGAACAAAAAACACAGAGTTAGGGACTTCCTGGGCAGTCCAGTGGTTAAAACTCCACACTTCCACTGCCAGGGGCGTGGGTTCGATCCCTGGCTGGGGAAGTAAGATCCCACATGCTGTGTGGCACGGCCCCCTCCCCCCCCCCAAAAAAAAAACGAACATAGAGCTAAAAAGACAATAAAGAAGATTAACTTGAATTTAAGAGCAGTCTAAACGGAGGCAGGAAAAGAGGAACAAAAGAAAAAAGTACAGATGTGAAAAATGGAAAAGAAAATAAGGGTACATTCAACCATATGGTCAATCGCCTTGAACGTGAGCAGACTGATTGGCGCAGGGTATGGACAGACATTCTCTGAAGAAGACACACAGATGGCAAGCAGTCCACGAAAGGATGCTCCACACCATAAGCCATCGGGGAAACGCAACCAGACCCGCAACGAGATGCCACTTCACGCCCACGGGGATGATTACGATAAAAAAAAAACAGATAATAACAAGTTCTGCTGAGGACGGGGAGGAACTGGAAGCCTCACATCCGCTGCCGGAGATATAAAACGGTGTGGAAAAGAGTGACAGGAGAGCCGATAACCAAGCTGTAGCATTCACACAATAAAAAGAATGAGCTACTGCTATTCAAACACTGAGGATGAATCCTAAAAACATCATGTTGCCGGAACTGAGCCAGATGAAAAGAACACATGCTGTAGAGCCCATTTATAGAAAGTTCAGGAACAAGCACAACAAACCCATAACAGAATTCAGGAGTTGTTTCCCTCGAGTGGGGGCCACCTGGAAAGGGGCACAGAGGGACCAGCAGCGGTGATGGAAATGTTCTGTGTCTTGACCGTGGGGTGGTTATGTGGTGTATACTTTCGTCAAGACACAACAAACTGAACAGTATGGTACCGGCACAAAAACAGAAATGTACATCAATGGAACAGGATAGAGACGCCAGAGATAAACCCACGCACCTATGGTCACCTAATCTATGACAGGGGAGGCAAGAATATACAATGGAGGAAAGCCAGTCGCTTCAATGAGTGGTGCTGGGAAAACTGGACAGCTACAGGTAAATCAATGAAATTAGAACATTTTCTAACACCATACACAAAAATTGAACTCAAAATGGATTAAGGACCTAAATGTAAGGCCAGACACTTTCTATAAAACTTTCTGAGGAAAACATAGGCAGAACACTCTTTGACATAAACCACAGCAAGATCCTTTTTGACCCACATCCTAGAGAAATGGAAATAAAACCAAAAATAAACAAATGGGATCTAATGAAACTTACAAGCTTTAGCACAGCAAAGGAAACCATAAACAAAAAAGACAACCCTCAGAACGGGAGAGAATATTTGCACACGAAGCAACCGACAAGGGATTAATTTCCGAAATATACAAACAGCTCATGCAGCTCAATATCAAAAAAATAACCCAATCAAAAAGTGGGCAGAAGATCTAGACATTCCTCCAAAGAAGACACACAGATGGCCAAAAAAACCATGAAAGACCCTCAGCATCACTCATTATTAGAGAAATGCAAATCAAAACTACAATGAAGTATCACCTCACACCACTAAGAATGGACATCATCAAAAAATCTACAGGGACTTCCCTGGTGGCACAGTGGTTAAGAATCTGCCTGCCAATGCAGGGGACACGGGTTCAAGCCCTGGCCCGGGAAGATCCCACATGCCGCGGAGCAACTAAGCCCGTGCACCACAACTACTGAGACTGTGCTCTAGAGCCCGTGAGCCACAACTACTGAAGCCCGCGCACCTAGGGCCCGTGCTCCGCAATGAGAAGCCACCACAATGAGAAGCAGCCCACGCACCACAACAAAGAGTAGCCCCCGCTCACCGCAACTAGAGAAAAGCCCGCGTGCGTCAACGAAGACCCAACGCAGCCAAAAATAAATAGGTAAATTAATTAATTTTAAAAAAATCTACAAACAATAAATGCTGGAGAGGGTGTGGAGAAAAGGGAACCCTCCTATACTGTTAGTGGGGATGTAAATTGATACAACCACTATGGAGGTTCCTTAAAAAACTAAGAATAGAACTGCCATATGACCCAGCAGTACCACTCCTGAGCATATACCTGGAGAAAACCGTAATTTGAAACAAGATACATGCACCCAGTGTTCATTGCAGCACTATTTACAATAGCCAGGACATGGAAGCAGCCTAAATGTTCATCAACAGATGAATGGATAAAGAAGATGTGGTACATCTATACAATGGAGTATTACTCAGCCATAAAAAAACAAAATAATGCCATTTGCAGCAATGTGGATGGACCTAGAGATTATCATACTAAGTGAAGTAAGTCAGAAAGAGAAAGACAAATCCCATGTGATATCACTTACATGTGGAATCTAAAAGAAAAGGTACAAATGAACCTATTTACAAAACAGAAGTAGAGTCACAGATGTAGAAAACAAACTTATGGTTACCAGGGGATGTGGGGGGGAGGGATAAATTGGGAGATGGGATTGACATATACCCACTACTATATATAAAATAGATAACTAATAAGGACCTACTGTATAGCACAGGGAACTCCACTCAATACTCTGTAATGGCCTATATGGGAAAAGACTCCAAAAAAAATAAAAGTGGATATATATATATATATATATATATATAACTGATTCACTTTGCTGTAACCTGAAATTAACACAACACCGTGAATCAACTATACTCCAATAAAAATTTTTTAAAAACACAACAAACTGTACATACGTTTTGTGCAACTCATCATATGTAAAACATGCTTCAATTTTCAAAAAGTGTTCATGACCATCACCCATGTTACCTGGCATACACCAGGGAAAGACTTCAAAGTGCAGGCAACCTCCGTGCGGTGATGCTCAGAAAATGCAGAACACCCACGTCACTAGGCACAGCGTCTGTACCTCCCCGTCAACCCCGAAGTGCCCCCCTCAGACCCCCAGACGTCCCCGCCTGACGTCTCTGCTGGGAGGGGCAGAGGGGAGCACACAGCACGGTTGGGGAGACGTGACCCGCACGCAAACAACCAGGCCACAGAGGGCTGCCGGGAGGAGTGGCAACGGCCCCCTGGGGCACGGCGAGAGCAGAGACAGGAGCAGGCGGGGAGGCCGCGCAGGGAGTAGGGCCGCCGGGGACGCAGCAAACTCAGGAGGGGTGTGGGGAGCTGCATGCATTAAGAAGGAACCAGGGTTTCACAGTCAAAGTTGGAAACGCGTGTGGCAGAGGAAAGGGGCCTTGGCTCCCCTGCCGTTAGCCAGGAGCCAAGGGCAGGGACCAGGCACTTACAGCACCAGAGGCGGCCGCCGTGCAGTCTGATGGCCGAGAACCCGTCGCCCGGCAGCTGGAACCTGCTGGTCACCCGCAGGGAGCTCGCGTTCCAGGCCAGGACTGTCCCGTCCGCGCTGCACGAGTACACAGTGCTGTGGGGTGAACACGCGTGCAGGCGCTTAACTGTGGCCCTGAGAACACCGTGTCCTTTTCAGGTTCCCACCAGGTAAGCGTCCACAGCACGGCCAGCGAGAGACGCCAGCGCCGTCAGGGGGGCTGGTTTCTGAGCGACCCCCGCCCACCCCGGCACCTCCACCACGTCCGCCAGGAATTGTGAACAGAGCCATAAACGGCTGTTAACTAAAATCCGCCCCTCCCGCCAGGGGCCGGGAACGGCACACGCCCCCTCCAAGCTCAAGTCCAAGGATCAGCTGCGGGGAGGCGGGCTCAGCTAGTGCCGTGCACGGCCCTTCCACCACCTGATGGCGTGTCATCTTCACGTGAGGACCTAAGTCCACCCGACTGAGGACAGGCAGCACCCCTGAAACTCAGGGCACAAGGGGATGGGGGTGGCACAGAGGGAAGTGGCAGAAAAGCTTAGGAGCTGTGGCCACCTGCGCCCAGGGCTGGGGCTGCCTGTTCAGGGTGGGTGACCTCAGCATACCTCACACACCCACTGAGCCCCGCTTCCTCACAGAGGGAAACAGGGACCCCGCCTGGTTCTCACGTCTCCCCTGGGCACCTGCTGTGTCCAGGCCCTGTCCCAAGCACAGGACACGGCAGAGAGCAGGACAGACACAGGGCTGCCCTTGGGGGGCTGGCATTCTTAACCTGGTAAAGCTGGTGAAGGATGAAGTAAATACATCTTACAGGTTGAACTGTGTCCCCAAAAAAAGATACGTTGACATCCTAGCCCCACAACACCTCAAAATGCCACTTATTTGGCAGCAGGGCCTTTCCAGAAGTAGCTAAATGCCACTAATAGTGTGGACCCCCATCCAACATTGACCTGTATCCTCATAAGAAGGGGACATTTGGACACAGGCACACAGGGGATTCCATGAGAAGACGTGGGGTTAGGGTGATGCGTCTACAGGCCCAGGATGGCAGGCAAACACCAGAGCCAAAGAACAGGCAAGGAAGGCGGGGTGCCAGCTGCTACAAGCACCACACGCATGCTGGACTCGGTCTCCAGCAGAGGCCGCTTCTCTGCACCCATCATGGCCACACCACACAGGAATGTCCCCGACTCACCTTCCAGACCCGCTTTGCTCCCCCTGCGCAGCCCGGGCCCTGCAGGCCACGGCCCATGGCCATGGGAACCCTTCCCTCTGGGACCCCTGACCCACGCAAGAGCCAGACGGCCCCTCCTCCCAGGGGAGCCTGGCCGGACCTGGGTGCCTGCGCTCCGTCCTGCACGACCAGACCCGTGACGCTGGAGCGGTGGTCCGTGAGCTGCTTGTTGCAGGACATGCTGTGGACGTTGATGATGTAGATGACCGAGTCCTCCGAGCCGACCCACACCTGGCTTTGCTCTGCCATCACCATACAGTTCTGAGGGGGCCGAGGAGAGAGCAGAGCAGTCAGTTCCCCGTGTTCCCGACAGTCATTCTGTCCTGTGCGCTCACAGCCAGCGCTGAGCCGCCGCTCAGGGACCGACAGGCTTAGGGTCCTGCCGGCCTCTGGTCACGCTCTTGTCATTCAATCAACACATCATCTTGCCCTGTGTTCCTGTTTAAGGGTGCCTCTGACCCTTGAACGACACAGGTTTGAACTGCATGGGTCCACATTTTCTCTGTAAAGCACATTCCAGCCTCTGGCACCTCAGCTCTATACTACGGCACCATGTTAAACAGCAAAATCACGATAAAAAGCACAAAAATGCAAAGAACATGGCACTAAATAGGCCGTGAAAAGGACACCTGTCTACAGTTTGAGCTGAACCAAGAAGGCAGAGTCGCCTGGCTTGAGCTCGGCTGGGAACGCTCACACAGCTCCCATTTCTCCCTGCTCTGGAGACGTGCACGTCTGTGGAGAACCATGCAAGCGCCGTAAGTATTTGCTCTGGAGCTACAAATAAATTTTAGCGGGTAGGTAAGTTTGCAAATATGGAATCTGCAAATAATGAGGACAGCCTGTATATTAGCCGGTGCTCTTGCAGCTAAGAGAGTGGCGCTCTCGGGGATTCCGGCTTAGCAAGGTCAATGCCAGTGATTCTCTTCAGACTTTCTGAAATTAGAAATTAAGAACTAAAACACTGAAGAGTTATAAAAGCCACATATACATGTGAAACGCAAATGTGTCTGCCTGTACATCTCAACCAACCCGACTGCATCCCTGAAACACGGTTCCCTAAACGTTTCCTGAGCGGTGTCCGACTCTATCCATGATATGGGCAACATTTTACTGGTAACCGAACGAAGGTCTCAGATTGTCAGATCCAAGCAGATTTCAAAGAGCAACAGTTACATCACTGTGGAGGGGCTGAGGCTAGATCTAATCTTGTATAATCAGTACCGATGGTGCTTACTGGTACTTATCTTTGTCAGAAGAAAGAGCTCATAAAAATTGATAGCTTTTGGGGCTTCCCTGGTGGCGCAGTGGTTGAGAGTCCGCCTCCCGATGCAGGGGACGCGGGTTCGTGCCCCAGTCCGGGAAGATCCCACATGCCGCAGAGCGGCTGGGCCCGTGAGCCATGGCCGCTGGGCCTGCGCGTCCGGAGCCTGTGCTCCGCAACGGGAGAGGCCACAACAGTGAGAGGCCCGCGTACCGCAAAAAAAAAAAAAAATTGATAGCTTTAATTTTACCAATAAACATTCTCATAAGTTAGAAAAAGATGTTGCCTTGCTAATTTCAGAATTAATCATTTAAAAAAGCCCTTTCTTTGGAGGCATCTACCTGAGAATTGTTGTAACATTTTAGTAAAATGTCTTTCTTTAGTGGCCCAAAGATATCTTAGATAAACCACTTGGAACTTCACATTTCAGATGAGGCAGCATTTTCTAGAGATAATTGCCCCAGTTGCTGTCTTGTTGAAACAGTACAAAATATCCCTGTGAAACCAGTGGGAAGATATTTTCACATAACTGGATAACTTTCTGCTTTAATTAAATGTTACCTGGCCTAACTGGGGAGCAGAAGAAATTGATACAAAATGCAGCCATATGATTTTATTTTCACAAGGATTTTAAGTTATTCTGTTATTAAACAGTCTTTGAAATGCTTGTAACTAAGAATCAACAGGAAAGAAATTAAATTTTAGAATAAGAGTGAAGTTCTTAACTTCTCCTCCTTGTTTTTCATTTCATCTAAAGCGTTATTAGACTTTTGTACACGTTTTACTTTAACGTGCCTTGGATCCCGTTCCTTTATCATCTGAGGCTCATTGTTTGAACGCGGGGAAAATGGTTTAGCAACTTCTTTAGAATGATCCCGCACCCTCTTGGCAACGTATATTTGAATTCACAATTTTTCTGTTTCACCCCAGTTTTGAAAGCATAGATTGTCACATTATCTTTAGATGGTGGAATGTGGCCATCAAAGTCGATGATACGAAGTAATGAGGAACGCTTAGGTACGTAAACTTCACTACACCATGCTTTTTACATTAAATGTGAAAAAAGAAGTTTTGTGTTAAAGGAGTTGGCCTGAGGATTTTCCTAGCAAGAATCCCTTGGGACAGTGGCTTCCTTTGTGCCCTCAGAGGGTCTTGAACAGGATGAAGCCCACCAAGGAGTAGGTGTGACAGCATTTTGAACAGTAGGGTGGTGTCGCCAAAGATATCTGGAGTGCCAAGTTAAAAGGCAGCCCCACCGGAAAGAAACCACTGATCACCCCTCATCTGGAAACACGAATTCACACGACACGTTCCAGGCGTGGAGGCCCTGGGGCACATGGCTGACATCACGTAGTACAGAAATAAGACATGATTTTCAAAGGGCCGTGCAAGGCCTCAAGAAGTCTCCAAAAAGCAGGGGGCTGATCCTGGTGGCACTGAGGGCTACAGACCTGAAACTTGACCTTGGGTTTGTGGGGGTGGGGTGAGGCTGTGTTTGCATGAATTTAACTTTTTTTTTTTTTTTGGCTGTGTTGGGTCTTTGTTGTGGTGCACGTGCTTCTCACTGCGGTGGTTTCTCTTGTTGAGGAGCACGGGCTCTAGAGCGCAGGCTCAGTAGTTGTGGCACACGAGCTTAGTTGCTCCGCGGCAATATCTTCCCGGACCAGGGCTCGAACCTGTGTCCCCTGCACTGGCAGGTGGATTCTTAACCACTGCGCCACCAGGGAAGTCCCTTAACTTTCTTTTAATTAAAGTTGACTAGGCTATCAGTCTAAAAGGTCAAAGAACTGAGGTTTCTCAACCACAAGATAACTATAATATCATGCAGATTTGACTTAAATGGTTCTTAGTTTTCGAACCCAAATGTGTTAAAATGATTCTAGTGTCTGCTTTTGGTGACTGACAATGTAAACGTGAGACTACCACACTGCCCTTTCCATGACTGAAATCCTGTTTTAGATTTCAGAGCGGGGATGGCTAAAGCCATTATCTGCTCACTTAAAGAAGAATATTTAAGTGAAGGATGGAACAAGCTTACATTTTAAAACTCGAGATAAAAATCAAAGACTTGCAGGATTCAGCGACGCCGTGGGATTCGTGAATCCCGCTACCTATACAGGTGGACGTGTTCAATTTCCAAAATCACAAGTTAACCTGGAAGCTGACTGAGTACTGTGCGCGTTCGTTTACTCACCAGTTTAGAAGTGCCCACTTTAAAGCAGTGCTGGTGAATTGTCCAAGAGGAAGCATCAAATACGACCACCTTGCCTTCGTTCAGAGCGCACCATAATTTGGGGTGAGCATCCTCAACTTTTTCTGCTGGGTCAAGATGCCCTAAAGAGGAAAGCAACCCGAAACGGTGAAGCCCTCTGCTGCATCAGCCTGTGGTTCATACATGACTCAGGTCCTGCCCGGCCAGGTGCCACCCTGGGTGCCCAGGATCCAAAGGTGAGCACGGCCCGAGCTTCCGTGCCCCTCGGAGCTTCGAGTCTCGGGGACAAGCTGGCTCCAGCTAGAGAAACACGCAGACAGACCGAGCCCGGGGGTGCCTTCCCTGAGCCGGGATCTGGGGGAGGCCTGAGGATTCACTCGTGGGCAGCGTTTCAGGCAGAGGGAAGTGGGCGCAGGGACAGAGGAAGGAGGGAGCCTGTGGCCACGTCCCCGAGGGCAGCTGGGCTCCCGCTGCCTCACGTCACCGCCAACACGAGGCCTGGTCGGCGCTCTCCGTCTTGGCCGTCCTAACGGCGTGAAGACTTTGGTTTTTCATTTGTGGTTTCTTTGCGTTTCCCGATGCCGATGAGGCTTGCTGGCTTTAGCTGGCCGTCTGGATCTCCCCCGTGCTGAAGCCTTTATGTCTCCTGCCCATGTCTTTTTTTTTTTTTTTTTTTTTGCAGTATGCAGGCCTCTCACTGCTGTGGCCTCTCCCGTTGCGGAGCACAGGCTCCGGACGCGCAGGCGTAGCGGCCATGGCTCACGGGCCCAGCCGCTCCGCGGCACGTGGGATCTTCCCGGACCGGGGCACAAACCCGTGTCCCCTGCACTGGCAGGCGGACTCTCAACTACCGCGCCACCTGCCCATTTCTGAATCAGGCTGTCTCATGCTCCTTGACTTGTAGCCATTCTTTAAATATCCCCAACTCGAGCCCCTTGTCGGTTCTCGCGTCTTGTGAATCTCCCTTTCCCAGTCTGCAGCCACCACGTTCACTCGTTTGGAAGTTTCTTTTAAAAATCCTTAACTCACCAGTCTGTTCCTTTATGGCTAGTATTTTTTATATGCTATTTGTGAATTTTTTCCTTACCGTAAGGTCATGAATATCTTCTTCTATGTTATCGTCTCCAAGTTTCATTTGTTTATGTTTTTGCCTTTCACGTTTAGACTGTGAAGTGATGGCCACGTGTGATCTGAGGTGTGGTCGAGCTTCATCTTCTCCACACGGATGCACAACATCCCAACACCTTCTGTGATGGAGACCGTCTTTCCCCTCCCCTGCTCTGTAGCACCACCTCCATCACAAGTGCAAGAAGTGTGAATCTGCCAGTCTTTCTGGAGTGTTCATGCCATTGGTCTCCTGGCCCCCCTGGGGGAGATCCTGCCCACTGAGACACAGTCTTCAACCCCCCAGAGACTGGGATGCTCTGAAGCCGGGCTCAGTGCCTGGGGCCTGGCTCCCTTGACTCTCGGAATTCTTGGAGGGGTTGCCCGCTTCTTGACAGGTGTGTCCTGACCCCAGGCTCGTCCCCCTGACCCCACATGGCTGGCCAAAGCTCTCTCGGCCACTGTTTCCAGTACCAGCAGCTCCGTCCTCCTTTGTTTTCTTATACATTGTCCGGCCCTTCTAGATGTTCTCAGCGGGACGGGAACTAGCCGTTGATGACAGGAAACCCAGAGTCTAGTTAGGCTTAATTTAAGGGAAACTAGCGTAGATCTAAGGACAGCTCGTCTATTCAGGTGCCGTGATGAAAAGCGTCTTGGTCTGTGCTGTCACAGCTGAGTGACGTCAACAGAGAGCCTCGACTGGATAAATGACGTCTCCAGAGGGATGCGCTCGGCCGCTCTCGACTCTCTTTCATCTGAGATCTGTTGCTTTACTGGGTCTTCTGGACGTTCAGGGAAGAGATAAACTCTCCTGCCGGGAGGCTGCTTTGCCACAGAAACTCAATTTGCCCATCGGAAACCGTGTGGAATGTAAGCTCCTGGCTGTGGATCGCTGGACTGCCCCACGAGGTCACGAACCTCGGAGGGTGAAGGATGGGGGTGCACGGATGCCACCGCCGCCGCCAACTCCTGATGCGGACAGGCCGAACACGGGGCGACCAGACTCAAAGGCTCTCTTCTGCCCGGAACTGAGCTCCTTTGCTCCCAACACTACAACCCTGGAGCAGCACCCTGCTGCAGCTCTCTGCAAGTCAGAATGAAGTAAAAGCATTTGGACAGTTGAACGCCTGTGACACAGGGCCGTCTTTGTTTACCCCCAGGCCTGGGCAGCGACCCTGTCTTCTTGCTGTCATCACTCCGACGCAGCTCGTAGGGGCCTTGAAAGTCTGTGGGACTGTCCCACCACTCCAAGCAGGAAGAGCCGTGTTGTCAGATGTGCACATCAGCATAGGAGGTGCAGCCATCCCATCCTGGTGACAATGGGCTTGATCCGACCAAAGACAGAAGTGCAGGGCCTTTATCCACCGACGTGAGGACGGCGAGGCCGGATGGGGACTCGGCCCCTCACGGCCCTGCTCCAGCCTCTGAGTCCACAGAGAGGCCGCACCTCATTGCTCAGGGTTCTGCCCTCCAACAGTAGAAAACCACCTGGTCCCCGTCCATCCTCTTCCTGCCGTCGCCCTTCCACTTCAGCGCTGACCCTGACCACAAGTCTTAAGCTCTCAGATTGTTCCAAACACAGCAGCGACATAAACAACCAGGTCCTACTGTACAGCACAGGGAGCTATATTCAATGTCCCGTGATAAACCATAATGGAAAAGAACATGAAAAAGCACGTATATATGTGTATAACTGAATCACTTTGCTGTACAGCAGAAATTAACACAACACTGTAAATCAACTATACGTCAATAAAATTTTAAAAACAAACAAACAGCAGTGACAAAGCAGGGAATGGCCTTCACCTGGGGTGTAGAGCAGGACATCGATGGCGCGTGGGAAGGTCTCTTCTGCGGAAGGGTTGATCTTGTGCTTCAGGGTCTCTGAGGTCGTCTTCGGAACTGCCATGGGCACTGAAATGCAGACACGGGGGATTAGTTCCCCAGACTGGAGGAGACCCAGGTTATCCAAGAGCCGTGCACATTCTGCTTTCCTTAGGGTATTAGCTCTGGGGTAAAACTTCATAATCTGTGAAGACGACGCTCTCTTTAAACTGGACATTAAAGTAAAGCCAAGCGTATCCGGCCAGAGGGTGAGCATTTGCCAACGTCTCACGTTGCTTTTTGTTTAAACACAGCTCTCAAGCTAAATGATCTGACCTCTGTCCACACTCAACCGTTACGTATGGTCTAGCCAAGGGAAGACTTTACACGTTTCTCCATAAATCTAACCCACGAGTGGTTTCTCACCCTTGTCACATAATGTGGCTGCCGTGGGTGCGTCCTGTGCGCTGTAGGACATTTAGCAGCATCCCTGGCCTCATCCAGTCAATGCCAGTAGCAACCTCCCCACTGCCACACACACACACACACACACACACACACACACACACACACCACAAATATCTCCAGTCATTGCCAAATGCCCCACCCCAGGGATGGGGTGCAGATTTCAGAAAGTTTCATTTTTAGACCTTCCATCACGAATGGACCATAAGCTATTAACTTAAGCCCAGGATCATGTATGGTTGCCTCATTACGCTTTACACAAGGGAAAACAGTTCTTGATTGGGAACAAGGAATCAGGGACACTGAGCTTGGACCATCCCCCCTTTGCCGTATGGAATTAAGAGTGTCATTTGTTGGGTGCTGCCATGGTAACTGTGTGTGTTATTTCCAGAGGAGTGAGAAGGCTTTTCTGTAAACTCTTGACAAAGATCAGGCATGAGCTTGGAGTGGTCTATAAGCAGCTGAAGTGTAGAGTGTGTGTATTTGATTTTGTTCCTGATTAAGGGGGGGAAACCCAGCAATTGATGTCTGGTTCTAGGACTGTTGACAAGAGCACCTCCAAGTCACTCCAGCAACTGGAGCATCCTGTCTGCTCCCAGAGGTGGGGGGGGGGGGTCCTCGGACCAGGAAGCTCCAGGGATCACACAGTTAGTGACAGACACAGCAAAGAGGAAAATGCACCAAGGGGAATCAACACATAACTGAGGCTTGTTTTCCCTAATTCTGGGATGACAGTTTAAACAACAGTGTCTTCCTGGCTGTATATACCCAAGAGGAATGAAACACACGTCCAAACAGAAAACTTGTATGTGAATGTTCAGAGCGGCACTATTCACGACAGCTGGGAAGGAGAAAAACTCAAATGGTCAATGGAGGGTTGGATAAACTGTGCCGCATCCACAGAGCAGAATACACGCAGCCCAAGAGGAATGAAGCAGTGACACCTGCCACTCGGGTGAACCCTGGAGCGTGATGCCACATGAAGGAAGCTAGACACACAGGACACATACCAGATGAGTTCACTTAGAGGAAGTGCGCAGACTAGGCCAAAGTGTGGCAAATCCAGAGAGACAGAGAGGAGGTTAGTGATTGCTTAAGCAGGTGAGGGGTGGCTGCTAAATGCATGGGGCTTATTACTGGGGTGATGAAAATGTTCTAAAACCCATCACGCTGATGACCGTACAACTCTGAATACACTCAAACCAGTAAGGCGTGCACTGTAAAAAGGAATGGTATGTGAACTGTATCTCAATAAAACTTATTTTTTAAAAAGTGCATACAGATAGAACTAGATGTCATCTTAAAAACATCCTACAACTTGTTCGTCCGTGTTTCATGAATTAATTTCATGTTGTGGGTTTAATCTAGCACACGTGACTTCCGGCACATAGTAATGTTAATAGCGATAAGTAATCCTCTATTCCCTGCTTCTTCGTGCAAAGCACAGGCCAGTCGGTTTTAGGAGATCATTTAAAAGTTGAAACAAAATAGAAGTAGCTAAAATGATGCATAAAGCTATTCTTACCTACTTGCTATTTCCTAGACTTGAAAAATCTTCTAAAAATAAAAAATTGAGCTTACCACCAACCTCCGTATGGCTTCCAGAATGTGAGAGCCAGATTTCAAGCTACAGGCGGAGATCAGAGAATTGCTATGGAGGGAAACTGACCAAATCAAGAGAAAAAAGAGAGATGGCCATCGGGGGCCTCCACGCGCTCGTGCGGCGAGGTCCAGCAGCCAGGGGCAGCCGGGCACAGAGGTCCCTGCAGCTCCGCAGTGGGCGTGTGTCCGACCGCAGAACTCCAGCGACCACGATGGCGATTCCGTGAGTCACGCAACAGCCTTCCACGAATTTCTGCTCTGCTTGAACCAGCCAGCAGCAATTCTGTTGCTGACAACTAAGATTCAGGAGCAATATCATCCGGGGTAAAGTGGACTCTAATAACCCAGACACTGAAACGATGAGGTGCCTCGATGTGTCCTTAGGAGCACAGAGCTCCAAGGTATTATTAAGTGAGGAAAGGAAAGATGCAGAACAACGTGTGATATTCAAAAATGAAAAGTACAGAAGAAAAAAACTTGAGACATTTGGGATTGGTTCTAATGGACAAGACAAAAGTCATCCAGATAAAAATGACTTAAGACATAACTCAAGACACCGTGGCTGCATTGAACACATGCTGATCTTACTTTCGTTCTTCATCTTATCAAAGTAAGATAACTTGGAGGCCGCGTAGATGGCGCCGGGCGACTGCAGTGCACCGACGACGGCGTCCATCAGCAGGACGTGGGTCAGTGCCTGCTGGACGTACTGGGGGTCCTGTGGGAGGGACAGTCATCTCAGCACAGCTTCACTGAAATCATTTCACTCTAAGACTTTGTCACGTCACATGAAACAACCCTTTCAAAGATGTGTGTTTTTCAAAGCCACGTGAAGAGTTTAGATTTGGATTTGATGTCATGTGATCATGTCCTCTTAGTTGAGACATACACTGGCTGTTTATACCAGGGGTCAGCAAACTTCTGTAAAGGGCCAGATGCTGAACACTTTAGGGTCTGTGGGCCATGCAGTCTCTGGCACGACAACTCAGCTCTGCCGTCAAGGGCAAAGGCAGCCGCAGACGCTGTAAAGGAGAGGGCGGGATGTGAGTCTGTACGACTCTCCTTAGACGTCTGCCAGCCCACGGGCTTTGATGAGCCAGTGTGTGCTAAATAAACCAGTGGGTATAAAACCAAACAGTGAGCCGCCAAGTCACAGAGTACTGGAATCTCAGGACCTAGTCCCCGCTTCCTGCTCCAAACAGAAACGCTCCTTCTGTCTCCATGACCTTGGGCTTCTCCAGTGACAGAACGTCCATCAGAAACGGCAGCTCCCCCACCACTGAACATACATTCTTCCTGACGCTTTCCACTGGGTGCCGCCCTCACCTGCATCTCCCTGAGGATCCGTGGGCACAGCTCTCCAGAACCTTCTGAACTGCTCCCTCATGGGAGTCCCCTAATTCGTACTTTTTGCCCACTTTGTTGTGGGTTTTCCTGTCTCATCTTGCCATTTAGACAAGACAAGTATCTCCCCTGCACCGTGTGTCCTCATGTCTTACCCTCCGTCCACGGTACCCTTCATGACTAGGAAGTCTTAATTTGGTGTGATCAAAGCCATCAGTTTGGCCCAAAGTAAATGAAGGTACAGAAGTCCCTAGGATATAAATGTAACCCTGTGGAAGGAATCTAACACCTCCCCCCAACCAAAACCCTAATCCTGTGAAGGGGAAAAGTGAAGAGCCGCTTAGAGCAGGGTGTGCCCGGACCACCCAGCTCAGACCTGCCAGAGTCCAGCCCCCGACGCTCCCTTCCCTGGGGTGTCACCAGGGGCAGGGGGCAGTGCAGAGTGGTCACTCCCACAGTCCACCCACACCACCCTGCCGGCCCTTGCGTTTGCCCCCAGGGCGTCCCCCAAGGCCCCAGGGCTTTGCAGGGCCCAGGCCCAGGCCCCAGTCCCACCTGGCTTTATGCTGAGCATTATTATAGAGACATGAGCCTTGGGTGAGAATAAAAAGGCAGACCGGGCCCCAGACCTTGTGGTCGTCGGCCAGCTTCTTCCCAGCCCACATCTCCTTCACCATCAGGTGCCACAGGTCACACTCTGTTTTAAGATTAGCTTCAAAGACTTTCTTGGACACCACTTTGATTTTTAAAGTGGGAATTCTCAGGAGCAGAAAAGCTACTGTGGTGCTTCTGACTTCCTGCAGAAGGAAAAAGAGGCAAGTAAGTGAAATGACACCCGCAGGGACCCTGGAGTCGATAGGAAATGCATTTAGGGGTGGCGGTCTGCACACACTGAGGGGACCCACTGGGCACTGGCTGACATCCCCATGGGAAGGCAGAGTCCTTGGGGCTGGCCTGGGGCTGGGGCTGCCCGGCGGGGAGGTCCGGCAGGACCCAAGAAGGCCCTGAAGTACCCGGAGCCGGGTGCCAGGGGTGGGGTGAACAGGGCTCCTCCAGGTGGTCTGTTCTCAGAGACAGGTGACGGGGAGTCAGGGTCACGGCGGTGTCTGGAGCTCAGCGAGCCTTCCTGGTGGGTCTAAGTGTGACCTGTCAGCCACACGTCGACAGAGACACACCGGTGGACTCGTCCACAGCGTTTAAAGGTGCTTCATTCTTTCACCTCCTTAAATCTCTGTCTCTGGACTTCTGGGAGGAAGCCCGTCAAAGCAGGCTTGGGGGGAAAACTGAAGGAACCAGTGAGAAGGTGCGTCCACTGGCCCAGCCTTAAGCATGGGCCACAGGGGAGTTCTCATGCCTCTTCTGTCTCTGGGAATATGCAGTAACTGGATTAATACATCTAACACACCGCTTATAAATTTAGGAAATAAACCTGGGAAAATAAAGGTAAGCCATGAGTCAGGATCTCGACTCAGATTCCCTTAGTGGGGAAGATGACATTTAAAGTTGTTATAAAATAAACAGCGCGGGCCAGCCAGGAACCTGATCAGGAAACGTGAGATGGAACCGCTCACAGGGGCTGGCCCACGGCCGTTTCCCAGTAAAGCAACGTCTATGCTTCTCCTACATTGTCGAACCACGTCAGCGAAAGGACAAGCCTGCCTTGCTTCTTGCTCTTCCCCCAAATACAAGTCAGCTGAATAGAGAATCTGCTGTCGGTGCACTCACTGCTCTGAACACATCACCCACTCCATCTATTCAGTCCTCACATCACTCCTATTCGGAGGGTGCATCCTTATTCCCACTTTACAGGTGAGCAAACTGAGGCACAAACCATGAGTGGCTTGTGACGGGCCCACGGCTGGCAGAGCCCAGTGGGCTGTTCCAGCTGCTGCACCTCCCAAGCCCAGGCGGCTTCCAGAGCTGCCCTCACCTCTATGTTTCTGAAGGTGGAAATCTCCACGTAGCCCGGCCTCCCCTCAGTAAGGAGGAACAGGCGCTTCTGGGTCATGGCGATCTTGCCCACACCGCGATTTGTTTTGACGGAGCTTGACAGCTTATACACACACTCGTTTTTGTCCAGCTGTTCCATCACCGAAAAAGGCAGGTTGACCTCTTGGGCCTCTGCTTCTGCCTCCTTCCAGCAGTTGTAGAAATCTTTGAATGTTTCTGGGTCAATCTGTTTCTGGTGTCCTTAGTTTTATAAAGAAAAAAAAATAAAAAGATTCTTACAGCCACGTACACAGGTGCCTCAAGAATGGTTGCTTTACAATCAGGAAGCAGCACGTTACCCGCAGGACATAGCAGGTGGCGCCAGCACCTAAGTCTGCCTGGATGGAAACCACCTGGAAAGCGTCCCCTCCTTCCCCAGCTTCCCCAGGTGCCCAGGTGGGCACTTGATCTGGCCTGAGCCCATTGCCCTCTCCAGCCCCTACCTAACCAGGTAGTCACAGTAACTCCTAGGGCACCAGGTAGGGACACTGGGACAAGGACAAAGTCCTGTGTCACCTCTAGAGCTGGTGGCAGCCATCTTGGGGCCAGTCCCAGGGTGAAGCTAATGCTAAAGAGAGCAGGTCCTTGGTGACACTCCCACACCACTGGATCAAGCCTTACCTGAAGCCAGATTTATCTCAGTACTCTTTGGGTATGTGAGCAAATAAGTTATTACTTGTAACCGTGATGATCTTAGTTGATACAGCAACCTTCCCACATGTCCAATATTCAGGGGCTCCGGAGTCAGAGAGAGACCCAAGTCCGAAGCCCAGCTTCACTACTGTTTAGCAGTGTGAACACAGGCCAGCTGTGGAACGAACCTGCTTCCCTGTCTGTAACGTGGAGCTGGAACCACCCCCAACTCCCACTCAGCCGCTAAGAAGTCCGGCCCGTTCTAAGCTCGATGTTTCCCTGTGCCTGGCTCCTGCATCCTCCATTCTGCATCCTGGATCTGTCTGCCCTCCATCCTCAGAGGGCCCTTCACATCCTACACAGGAAGAAGCTCCTTAGTGGCCTCCTGCCTTCTAAGCTGCCCCCGCCGGCGGCCTGCTTCACTCCACGCCTAGAATGAGGCTCCTCGTATCCACCAGGCCCAGATTCCTCCAGGATCAGGCCCCTCCTCCCCTTCGCACTCCTGCATCCCAGCACAGTGACAAGCATGTTGTTACGTGCCTCTGCACATGCTGGTCTGGAGTGCTTGGACCAGAAAACTCCTACCTATCCTTCAAGACCCAGATAAAATGGCCCATGGGCAGCCTTCCCAGACAAGGGGCCCACTAAGCTGATGCGCTCTTCCCTCACGGCATCTAACAATGCTTGCTGTGCTCTACCCTCTATACAGGCCCAGCTGCCCTGGGCAGCTTGGTCCTAGATCAGGAGACTGAGGACTGGAGAGGAAAGCCCTGCCGGCGGGTGGGCAGGTGCCAGGCAGACGGCCCGCCGACGCCATGCCTTCGTGGGTCTGCCTTTCCCACTGGGGGCCTGCTCGGGATGCAGAAGCCTCCCCGTCTCAGCCTGGCTGGAGGCCAGATCTAAGAGGTCAAGAAAGGCTGTGAGGACTTCCCTGGTGGCGCAGTGGTTGAGAGTCCGCCTGCCGATGCAGGGGACACAGGTTCGTGCCCCGGTCCAGGAGGATCCCACGTGCTGCGGAGCAGCTGGGCCCGTGAGCCATGGCCGCTGAGCCTGCGCGTCCGGAGCCTGTGCTCCGCAACGGGAGAGGCCACAACAGTAAGAGGCTCCCGTACCCAAAAAAAAAAAAAAAAAAAAAAGAAAGGCTCTGAAAGCTCGGCTCTGGTTCCCTAGCACCTGCCAGATAACGGTTTCCTGGGGAATTTGCTGTCGTGGCCACAACTGAGTCTGGCCTCATCCCCACACAGTGCAGGCACAGAAACATTCAGGTGAAAACCTCCCAGGTGGCAGGATTCTGAGTTGGTTCTCCTCTGGCTCACCTGTGTTTTTCTAATTGCCTTACAACCGTGGTCTACTACTTCAAATTTGTTTAACGTCCTTGGATCCAAACAGAATCACACCACAGTGGGATATCTGTATATACTTGGGTCGTTTTTAGAAAGTAAGTTACTGAGGGACTTCCCTGGCGGTCCAGTGGTTAAGACTTTGTCTTCCAGTGCAGGGGGTGCGGGTTCAATCCCTGGTCAGGGAGCTAAGACCCCACATGCCCTGCGGCCAAAAAACCAAAACAAAATAGAAGCAATATCGTAACAAATTCACTGAAGACTTTAAAAACGGTCCATGTCAAAAAAAATCTTAAAAAAAGAAAGTCACTGAAAAAAATGAAGCACAAGGGCCGGTGGGCAGGTGCCCAGGCAGACGGGCCCGGGGGTCCCTGTGCTGGGCAGCGAGGCACCAAGAGGGCGCGCATCAGGGTGGGGCCCCTGACCCCGTGACACGGTTCTCATCCCGCTTCCATTTTGGAAAGGCTCCTCCGTGTAGCTGCCTCTGACTGGGGCGCCTCCATCTACGCCTCCTGGCGGTTCTGAATGATTATATTTTTAATCAGAAGCACGTGGCTATTTTAAGTGGACGACAACGAAGAGGATGTTTAGTCTACGTAGCCAAGGAAAAGCCCAAGAATCAGAAGAGCGCGAGAGGGGAGTTGGGGAGAACCACGAAGCCATTACTTAATGAAAGTTGGAGCCAAAGATGCCGGACGTGGAGCCTGGAGCCAAGAAACCCGTCCCTTCTGTCATTAGGACAAATGCTCCCACCATCTGGGTCCCTGCACAGTGCCGGGGCCAAGCGGAGCGAAGCGCAGGTCCCCAGAACCGGAAACGGCTTCCTCTCGCGGGCAGACAGGAGGCGGGCTCGCGGGCTTTGAGAGCCGAGGTGAAGGACACCAGAGAGGCCAGGGATGCCCACGCGGGCCTGTGGACGCCACCCCTGCCAGGGCCGCAGCACAGCTGGACGGTGCACATCCATGGCACTCACACAGCAATAGCCACCGTGCACGCAAGGGGCCACCACGCACATCCACAGCTGCGGACAGAACACTCATTCATCTCCAATCCTGCACAAAAATGCCAACTGTTCATCTCTGCCCCTCACCCGCACTCCAACACAACCCCTCCAGCTCATCTATGGGGGAGGCAGAGTCACCGGCTCCCGTGGGCCACACTGAAGGCCACACACAGCTGACTCCCCGCCCTGGGGCCAGGTCGTGAGGGCCCTGCACCTCGAATACCAGACTCCGACGTGTGTTCTTATGTTACATCTGTTTATTCTAAGATGGTGACCTTCAGCTTTGACCTAATCCTTTTATTAGCACATACGCGCCCGTCAGGCAGAAACGTACATTGGATGCTGCGCGACAACGGTGCACGTATCCCAGAATCAAGGCCAACAATGACCTGCTTGCAATGCGAATGGAGCCTAAGTGACAACAGGGCCATCGACGGCACTGTCACCGTGGTCATCTGAGGATGCCCTCCCGGGTGTCCTTTCACGTCCCTGCAAGTCTGGGGCTGCTGGACGGCGCCCACGTGTCCAGCTGTAAGCCACACTGTCTGGCTCCCGTGGGACACGCTTCTGGCCAAGGAGAGGTGAGAGCTGGGAGGGCCAGGCCCTCTTCTCCCAGGAAAAGAGCGCCGCCCAGGCCATCGGCCCCCCGGGCTGCGCAGCAACGGGCTGGGCTGGGGGGAGAGGAAGGAGCCGGCTGCACGTCCAGACACCTCGTCACACGAGAACAGCACCCCCGGGTGGATTATGCCGTGGTACTTCAGGCCCTGCAGCTGGCCTAGTGCTCGTATCCTTGTGTCCTCGCGAGGGCCCGCGCACGAAGGCGGGAGCAGGGCCTCCTCTGAGAGTGCTGAGCCCCACAGCGCCTGCGCCCCACCTCCCGGTGGCCTGGGTGCTGCTGGTTGACCCCGCGAGAACCTCTGCCCCTGGCGGACTCAGTGCACCCCCCACTGCCCTGCCCATGGGAGTCCCCTGGGCAGCACCAGTCGCCCACAGATGCCCAGGGAGACGAGACTGGCTGGCCAAGATGGGCCACTTCTCCGCGGCCGACATAAGGTGACACCACGCGGAGGGCCCCGTGGGCGCTGGGCCGGCCGCGCCCCCATCAGACCGATGGAGGGACTGTGAACAAGCGGCCCCATCCCTCCACTGGTGGGAAGGCGGCGCGCGTGGGTACAGAGAGGTCGGGCAACTCGACGGCAGCCGCGTAACAAGGAAGGACATCCCACACCAGTTACCAGCAAAGCACGGCCTTTCCAGAGGACACAGGGGCTCCCGCACAGGACACGGAAGGAGGTCCGACCCGATGGAAAAACAGGCCAGGCTGTGCCGCGCAGCTCCAAGGAGAGAGGCCCAGACGCTCCGAGCACAGGTGCCGACGCTCAGTGCAAGGCCACCTTGCTCACCAAACCACAGAACACTTCAGACGACTGCCCCCCGCGCTGCAGACCTGCCTTGAGGGACCTGCTGGGGGGATGGCAGCTCCCACCCGACGGGGCTGCAGCAGCATCCTAGAGAAGGCCATCCACGCCCGGGGGGCAGGCTGCGAGCCTCACTCGTCAGCATCGGGACAGGCGGACACGACCAAGGGTACAGGCCAACACGCTGCACCGCCCTCGGCACGGCGAGATGCCTGTGAGCGCCACGGATACGCTTTGAAAATGCAGGCCGACACACACGTACCGCGTGAGTCACGTATAGTTTACAAACGCACAAATCCTATGTTCTGCTTGTGGGTGCATCCACGTGCCGCAAATGCATAAGAACTTGGTCAGAAGGGAAAGGTCAAGTTTGGGACAGTGTCCCTCTGAGGAGGGAGGGGCGGAAAGGGTTCTGGACCAACCAGACGACTGCAGTAAACGTGGGAAACAAAAGCAGCAGGGGTGGAGGTGCCTGAAGCATTCCGGCTGGAGCCATGCGTCCCCATGTGGGAGGAAGGGGTCAGCACACAGCGAGCAACCCCCCAGGACGGGAGAGATGCCATTAAGCGTCACCAGGCCCTCCATCCCCACCCCCTTCCCAGAGCCTCGGCCAGCCCAGGAAGCAGGTAAAGCCCCCGCCCGCCCGCGCCGCAAGGCTCCTCCAGGCTGGGCCGACCTGCCCTCGAGGGTCTGCACCGCCCACCCCGGGTATCCTCCTACCTACGGTTACTGCCTCGAGGGTCTGCGCCACCCACCCCGCGGGCATCCTCCTACCTACGGTTACTGCCTCGAGGGTCTGCGCCACCCACCCCGCGGGCATCCTCCTACCTACGGTTAATGCCTCAAAGAGCCGATGTATGATGCCCGCATCCTTCACGATGCCCGACTCCTGCACCCTCTTCACAAAGTCGTCCAGCTGCATGTGCTTCTTGGGCAGCTCGAAGTTCTTCACGCGGTCGTCGGCCTTGGGGGTGTCCTTGGGCTTGTCCACGACCGCACTGATGAGCCGGCGAAGCTCGGGCGTCCGCTCGGCCTGCGCGCGCTCGGGCGCCGACAGGGACTCCACCGTCCTCTGGACGAGGTCGGTGGGAAAGATGCGCACATCCGTCTTGTACAGGCTCTGGAAGTCCAGGAGGGCGCCCAGCAGCTGGCCCTGCATCAGCTGGACAAGCCCTCGCAGGTAGAAGTACCTCGCCAGCAGCACCGAGTTCTCGGGGGCCAGCGAGTCCATGACTTTGCTCAGCTGGGCCACGCAGTCCGCGTGGAACGCCTGCACACACTGGCCCACCAGTGGAAAGTGGATTTCCGGGATCTTGAAGGTGTATGTCAACTTGGGGGGCACGTCCAGAACTGAGGAGTGAAGGGGAGATGAACGGTTAGCACAGACCTTAGAAACAGACACGCGTTCCCACCCCATCACTCTGCCCAGGGCCGTTTCTGTGCCTTGGGTGCAGCGTGGAGCAGGACACCCCGTGCCTCTTCCAGAAAGCTCCACATGCCCCACGCTGAACGGGGCCCCTCACTGCTCCCATGGCACAAATAATGTTATTTGTTAAAACTGCTGATGCTAAGTTGAAACACGTGGCGGTGAGTCTTTGTTGAAGGACTAAGCTAATAACCTAGGCCGAGACGCACCTGCCAGGCGGGTAAGCCTCCCAAACAGCTGTTTCATTCACCTTAGCAGCAGCTCTGCGCCATGGGTACTGTTACCACACCCATCTCCCAGGGTGGGGACTGAGGCCTCCCCGGGTCCCCGGTACACAGCTACTGGGTACCCCAGGGTCACACAGCCAGGAAGCAGCTGTGCAGGGGACTCAGACTCACGAGGAGCCTCCAGAAGGTCAGTAAGGTCTTTTCATTTGAACACGCGGCCCCTCCTGGCGTCGCCGGCATGATCTCCACTCAGCCTCCAGCTCTCCCGCGAATGCGCCAGGAGGTACCAGCTGGTACTGGTGCCTTAGCCCGAGGCAGCAGCCACTGGGGGCCCAAGCAGCTCACAGCGCTGGCCTCACTGCTGTTTATCCCACGGGCACTGGCTTCCTCTGTACCCTCAGCCCCTAGGAAGGGCCTGGCAATCACTGGGGGCCTAAGAGTTGCTGCATCCCCTTAGACAGTCATATATGTAAACACATATCTCCTATGTACACATACACATACGTGCATATACACACACAAGTATGAAAACAGTGGGACAGGGCGATGGAAAATACAGACGAGAAATCGCTTTCTGTAACGAGCATAGTCTGCAAAATGAATGTTCTAAAAATATTTCAAATGACTAATTGTCAGAAAGCAACAGCCATAAACCCCCCTTCGCTTCTACTGAAACGAGCTGTGGTTTCTTTCAGTGACAGGCAGCATGAGAGCCAAGTGAGTGAGAAAAGCCACAGCACGGGCGTGGCTGCACCACCTGTGTGGCTGCTTCCACAATCCTCGGTACGTATCTTCCGCAGCGACGAGTTCCGGGGTGGCAGCTCGGGCACCGTGATGTCCTGCAGGTTGGGCATGCTGACCACCATGCGCCTGTGAGCCCCGTGTGGGGCTGAGGACTTCCGGCTGGCCATCTTCTCGACTGTGGGTCTTCTTGGACTCAGGAGCATCCCGTCTATCCTGGGTGGAAAAACCCAACACCTTGTAGACACAGCAACGGTTGAAGCACAGGCTCAACTGGGCATTTTCCCCACCGTGGTGACCAGAATCCAGCATTCCCACACCGAGTGGGAAACGGCGGGCACACTCCTGGCTCTCCCACGTGTAGTGAAGGCTGCATACGGTCCACACCCCAGGAGAAGCCACAACACACAGAACAAGGGCGTCGTCGACAGCCGACACACGTTTGAGGGGTTCAGGAAAAGCGGCATGGAAGAGGCGGGAAACGGTGACGATGTGGGGAGAGAAAGAGAAGGAAATGGGGAGAAAACAGCACAAAGACCCAGAGCTGCCTCTGCAGGTACGTTCAGCATCCCCTGCAAGAAACAGAAATGCACGGGGAGGAGCCTGACGTGTTACCCAACTCATTATGAATTTCTAAATGTGAGACTTCTCTGATCTAATTTATCATTTATCCTTCCAAATAAAACTGTGCTCCTTGAGCACACGGACACCCAAGGAGTCGTGCATCCTTTAGAACGTAATATGCAAACCTGTCCTCTTCGGACTGCGTGTGGAGGTCCATCTGGGCAAAGGCGTCCATCCTTCTGCTGAGCCGAGCCTTGAGGAAAGCATGAAACATATAGGTATCCAAGACCTGGAACAGACGCCGAGGGGCGGGTTATTGTGCCTGCTTCACGGTCCTTTCCTCCCCGAGCTGCCAGGGCACCTGCAGCCACTGCACGAGTGGCCCTTCCCGACCCACCGAGGCCTCTCGCCAGCACCTTTGGACAAAAGTGCCCAGACACAGGTAGCTTTCTTCATTTATCATAATCTAAGATTTCCCCTCAATCCCTCACCAGCCAATCTCAAAGAATCAGCCACTCTTTGCATTTGAAAAACCACAGAAAGTTCAAAAGTCCAAACCACCCTGCCCCCCGGGACAGCAGCAGCCGCAGTCCCTGTGTTTCATCATGGATTCTGGTGTCTCCTGGGGACGGCAGCCTCTCTAACGCTCCGCACCTCACAGCCAGCGCACCCCGTCTCCAGACTCACACGCGCCAATCTCCAAGTCAGCTCCCAGGGAGTGTGGATGCTGCCCGGCCCTGGGAAGGGGGCGGTGATGGGAAGGGCATGGAATTGTGTGGCGTGATGGAAAGGTTCTAGATCCAGACTGAGGAAGGGGCGACCAGGTACACGCCTTGGTCAAAACTCTGCACACGCTATACTTAAAATGGGTGCATTCTGTTATATGTGAATGCCACTCTAAAAAGTCAATTAAAAAAAATCAGAGCTGGCCAAAGGATCAGAAGAAACCACGCTAAAACAAACTTTTAGAAAAGCTAAGACACTGAATAAAATATTAACAGATACTGGAAACACTTGACTTGAAAAATACTTTAGATACAGAAAAGGGCGAAGGATCGACTATACACACACACAAACCCCACACACCTCTTACCTGTTTATAAAACTGCTGGTCCCCTGGAGCTCTTGTTTTGAGAAACTCTTCACTATTGAACACCCTATGTTCATAATTTAAGTGATTCTTCACTCCCCTGATGAAGAAAGATAGTCTAAGAGTTGAAATATTTTTAAATACATGAAAAAGACATTGCTGTCAGCAGAAAAAAAGTAACAAGAAATACACACTTTCAAAAGCCCTGTCTGTAGGAACAGTACTCTGAGCACTGAGGGACACGGTTTGGATGTATTCTGTGGCGGGGCTTTCTCGTCACTTCAAGCACGGCTTTCCCCCAACTGGAATGAAGCTCAGGGTGGGGGGGTGTCTGTCTTCTTCGAGCCCCCTAGCTCCTTATGCAAATGAAGACGAAATCATCCATAATTGTTCATACAAACAAAACTGAGTTCAGGGTGGTGACACAGGAAGGGCACCCAGACTCTGAGCACTGACCCAGCTCGGCCGCTAGCCTGACCCTCGCCGGCCACTTCCCCATCCTACACCGTGGGGACTTGGGCACATGACCCCCTGATCTACCGTGAGAGCCTACCAATAGAATCAGTAATCCTACAGGGCATATTCAGAACGTAGCACGTTCGATGTTTTCCTTCTCTTGTGAGGGAAAAAATTACTTCATCTGATATCGTATTTTCTTTTTAATGAACTAAACTCATCAAGTTTGCAGAGTATTAAAAAACAAAAACCTTCATGAAAGATTTCATATTAAAAGAACAAAAGGAAAACTACATTTCGACAACCACACAAATTATACTCCTCTGAGCAAAGAGCTAATACAACCTTATCTATAACGTGACATCCCGTTTTCCCTAATAAATCATTTGCTTACATAAATACAGACAGCCAAAGAATACAGCCATTAAAATGCTGATTTTGAAAGGATCACACTGAGTGTCATCAAGTTGGCCAGCTCTGGTCTAAAGACCCCTCCCAGGCAGGGTCTGTCCAGATCAGAAGGGGACCTGGTGTTGCCACCCTCCCTGCTACACAACCCGGGCGGGGGGGGGGGGGGGGGGGGGGGGGGGGGGGGGGGGGGGGGGG